TTCTTATCACAATGGACAACACTGTGAGCCGTCTACACAACGTTACACAATTTGATCACACAGTGGACTCTGCAGGGAATCAATAAGAGGCTGATTTTCCAACGGCATTAACCATACATCACGAATTTTATTATTTCTCTTGTCGTTTAATTTCCGGTTAAAATCACATATTTTATTGGCCGTGCGTCCAAACCTTGTTAGCGCCCACTGGATGAGCTACCGGCCTCGTTATAAACGAGACAATTAGACGTGCTTTCAAACCAGTTTAAATGATGAATACGCTTTGTGCCGACCTTACACCGGGATAATCGTCCGAGGCAGATCGTTTGCTCTCAGAATTAGACGACTTTAGGGGGGTGGAGGAGGCCGAGTCTCTGCTTCCTGTTTGCTGTAATCAGCTCATGTGGAAACGTTTCGGTTTCCATCATCTGTTTGATCAGACCAATCAAACCACTCATCTCGGAGAGCTCGGCTGATAAGACTGATTTACAGGAAGGCCCTCGGCCTGGTCGGAATGGCCGGAGAACAAAGAGGCGTCTGGCTCCCGGAGCAGGTCCTCCTCCTTCCTGCCTGACCTCACTCAGCCTTTTTCCCCACAGCTGGGCCGCTACACCCGGGAGGGCCAGCTGTTCCTGGGCCCCCTGGGGAGCACGGGCGAGGACACCCGCTGCGTGGTGGACGACCAGGCCGGCAGCTTCCCGCAGCTCCTCAACTGCGACAAGGTGGCCAACGTCAAGCAGAAGACCTGGAACTTCTCCCAGGTGAGACCCAGAAGAAAGCCCCCTCCATGCACCAACCCTATGAGGCATTTCCCTGGTCCTTTCAGGTCAATTCTTCACCAAAAATAAACAACAGGAACCAGTAATCATTCATCTGGACCCCTACTGCTTGATTAAAAAAAAATAAGCCCCCCATTTCTCTGGAACTTCTCCCAGGTGAGACCTAGAATAAAGCCCCTCCAGGGGCCTGTTTGAGCATTGTGCACCAACCCAAAGAGGCATTTTCCTGGTCCTGTCATTTCAGTACTTCACCAAGAATAAATTTCAGGAACCAGTAATCGTGCATCTGCTCAATTTTCCAAAAAATAAGACCCCCATTTCTGTGGAACTTCTCCCAGGTGAGACCTAGAATAAAGCCCCCTCCAGGGGCCTGTTGGAGCATCATGCACCAACCCCAGGAGGCATTTTCCTGGTCCTTTCATGTCAATTCTTCACCAAAAATAAATGACAGGAACCAGTAGTCATGCATCTGCTTAATTTTATAAAAATAAGACCCCCATTTCTATGGAACGTCTCCGAGGTGAGACCTAGAATAAAGCTCCCTCCAGGGGCCCCTTGGAGGGGGCATTTTCCTGGTCCATTCATGTCAATTCTTCACCAAAAAATAAATAACAGGAACCAGTAATCATGCATGTGCTTAATTTAAAAAAATAAGCCCCCTATCTTTTGCAACTTCTCCCAGGTGAGACCCAGAATAAAGCCCCTCCAGTTGGACTATTATGCACCAACCCAAGGAGGCATTTTCCTGGTCCTCTCATGTCAATTCCCCAAAAATAAATGACAGGAACCAGTAATCAGGTATCTGCTTAGTTTTACAAAAATAAGACCCCCATTTCTCTTTTGGATGAGCCAACTGGGGTCATCTGGCTACCCAAACCCTCCCAAACACAAGTTAAAGGACCACTCTTCCATCCCTAAAAGGAGGGCCACGTTCTCTGTAATGTGACTAGATCCAAGAAACGAGCCGACTTTATTCACAGGACTGACTTTGTAATTAGAGAAGACGCACGACTCGCATCAGAGCAGCTGAAGCCTCACAGCCACAAAGAGCTGAAGGCTCCCTGTGATCTCCTCCGTCTGTCGCTCTGTAGAAAAAGCAGCGAGGGGTCCCACAAATTAACAAAGATAGCTGGTTTCCGTTAGGCTTTTTAAGCAAAACCGACATCTTTTCACATTTTCAGACGATCACATGAGCTCTGATCAAAGTACCACAGATACCAGCCGGGTCTTTGCTCTTTTGTTCACAGTATCTAATTATTTTTGCACATTTTTGCCACCTTTTAACAGACGTGTAACCTTTTTTTGAGATATTACAAACAGGACGGCAGAAATACATGTTACAGGATGCACAAAAAGCCGGGCCAGCTCAGACTGGAAGCCTCCAAACTGAGAAATATCACACAGAAAGAATAAGAAATTGCACTTTTAAAGTAACCTTCTGAGCTGGGATGATCTGGAGTGGGACGTAAGCTTCTGTGATCTCAGATAACCCCAAAAAAAGAGAAAAGGTGGACGATATTAGATATTGATTTACAGCCAAGGCAGCGTGTCCTTGCATTCCTAATTACGGGTTGAGCACAGATAGATAGATAGATAGATAGATAGATAGATAGATAGATAGATAGATAGATAGATAGATAGATAGATAGATAGATAGATAGATAGACTAAAATCAGGAGGAAAAAGACTGAAAATAAACACAAAAAGACCCAGAACAAAGCTAAACCATCCAAAACCAACCTAAAAAGCAAAAATAAATAAATAACAGAGCCAAAAAGACCCCAAAACAGAACAAAAAAATACCAAAAAGAGGCATAAAAAGACCAAGAACACACCTAAAATATAGATGGATAGATGGATAGATGGATGGATGGATGGATGGATGGATGGATGGATGGATAGATGGATAGATAGATAGATAGACTAAAATCAGGAGGAAAAAGACTGAAAATAAACACAAAAAGACACAGAACAAAGCTAAACCATCCAAAACCAACCTAAAAAGCAAAACATAAATAAATAACACAGCCAAAAAGACCCCAAAACAGAACAAAAAAATACCAAAAAGAGGCATAAAAAGACCAAGAACACACCTAAAATATAGATGGATAGATGGATAGATGGATGGATGGATGGATGGATAGATGGATAGATAGATAGATAGATAGATAGATAGATAGATAGATAGATAGATAGATAGATA